AAAAATGCAGTTTTAAAAGGTAGTAATGCAGCTCCAAGTGCCATAGCCTAAATGCACGTGCCTACTCCAACAGCATATATTCTGAACTCAGCTCATTCTGAGACAAGTTTAGTTATTGTATATTTTTTTAAACCACAGTAGGAGCTATAAATCAAACAATATAATAAGTTCCTTTGTATGACCTTTTTATTAGATAAATTGATATTTTGTAGAATTTAGAGGCTAAGAAATGCCAGAGGTCGTCTTATTGACGTGCTCCTCATATCATATCATATATGTTTTATTCCCGTGCTCAATAGGAGCAGAAAACAATCATAACATCCAGAGTCTTTTATTATCTTCTCTATTTTATGCAGAGCTCTGTGACTCAGACTTTACCCATTTGCTGTGGCACAGTAGGAAACTTGGAGTCTGTTAAAACATAGCACAATGAAGTAGCACAGCCCGAGACCTCTATCACAATTTTGATTGAATTCAAAGACTGAAGATAGTGACAAGTGTACTTTTAGCTACTAATGTGAAATTCTTCACTCATTCTACACTCTTCGTAGATTAAATTAAACACACACACACACACAGTTTGGCTCCATTCAATTGAAACCCTATCCTTTCTTTGTCATTATTGTACTGAAAATGTAAAGAATCGCATCTCTTTAAGAAGTCCAAAGGTTGCCAGCAAGTATTATGGTTGTTTTTATTGATTATCACCACTATCCTTGCCGTTTCAGATCCAACTACTTCTGATAATCATACCAAAATCTGTAATACTCTATAAATTTGTTAGGTGGCCTGGAGAAATATTCCTTGGCTTTCACATGGTTCACTCTGTCCAATTTCCAGTAGCAGTCAAGGTATCTCCCAAACCTCCTGGTAAACCTGGAAGGTGGAGATAAAGTTCAAGTAAATAAGTTTTTTTTTCTTAAGGCAACTACCAACATAAAAAATTCATAATGCAATAATAATTCAGTAAAAAAATATTGAAACAAAAAGGTGAGTTTATAAAGCACCTCATTCCATCATTCTGTCAACTTGTAAAAACAGGAGTAGGCATGTATATATAGCAAAGTGTTTTACTCTGACTGACCATCAAATAACATCTGTTTATTTCATAGCATTAACAAATAATGAGAAATTCATTATGTTACTTGTTACTTTACGCATTGATACATTCATATAATTTATTTTGCATATGGTTGATATGCACAACAGAAAACCAGACCAAAAATGTCAAAATAAACTTACATTGAATATTTTTTAAAAGTTGATCACTAAATACACACACACACACACACACACACACACACACACACACACACGTAAATGAAAGGAATGTTTGATAAGTTAGATAATGTACATGTATTATGAATGATAGATCCAACCGCCTACACAACCTTAACATACATGTGCAAGAGACGAGCCCGAGTATATTAACACACACACACACAAAAAAAAAAACGAAACACCGTAGTGGAGCTTGAGTAGGCCATTTAAAGATGCATACAAAGTCAATTTTTTGTCACAAAAACCAACCAAATGCCAGCATATAGTTTCAAGTAGTATAACTAAGAGAATTACCAAAAGGCATTGTTTAATTTTACCCGAAAATGATGTTTGAACGGATTTTTCTGCTGGCATTCTAAGCTGTATGTCAATGGGGCAGGAAAGTAGGTCACGAAAGTAGGTTAAATTTACAACCAAAAATTTAAAGAAAGGAGCAGTCTAAAGTTTTTTTTATGGCTGATCGAGTGATCTATTCAGTTTATCCCTTGGCATGTCGAATTTATTTGAGTCATATAAGAATCTAGTAGAAGTGGTTTACATGTGTTACTGGGAATCCACGCTCCACCGATGCTCAGTTCGTATGTACCTTTAAGTAACACTCCCAAACTAATCTATATTAGAAGTCAGCCTTGTGATGATGTCCGTTCCACACATAAATTCACTCAAGAATAGAATTAACCAGAGACATATTTATTTCGATTTTAACTTGACATGCTTGGAAGGTTATTTCCCTATCCTCGGAACATCTGCAATGATCCCTTTAAAATATGAATCATTAAAGCTCAATTATATCTAGAGTTTTACTTTTTGTCAAAAGCATTTAATGCTGCTTTATTTTCAAACACAGTCGCTATTGTTGTCTTCATCTATTGTTGTTACGCAAGGTAGGCAACGTGGCACTCGTGATATAGAAATAAAAGAAAAGTGTTCCCTACTGCCAAGGACAACAGTTAAAAGTCCATGCACCATAACAACACAGCCGTCTCCAGCTATGCAGAAAGTTCACAGTATAATTTACAGATTATGACAACTCTAATGATTTTAAAACGGCCTCATAAAGAGGAAGTAGATCTATGGGGTCTCTACGGTTTCTGGAAACGGAATTTTACAAGAACATCTTAATGTGCCATTACAACGAAGACTAACAACTACCAAATAGTTTTTGGTTGGGCGCAATGACTGGAATATGTTTCTAAAAAGCAGTCCGACCCCTGTCACATCGTGCAATATATATATATATATATATACACTGTATGTGTATCGCACTGTTTTGGCAGATTGACAACATCATAGCCTTGCAATTAAAAAATAAGTAAATAAAAAATAAATAAATAAACGCCTGTCCTAACTCATGCAATAGCGTACTTGTGGAAGGAAGCTTAACCCAACCTCCATCTCCCTCCCCTCACCCACACACCCGTAGCGTTATTAGATGGTTAAGGACTAGTCATAACTCATGTTAGCCCGTGGCACCGACGATTTTACTTATCATCATGTGAACCAGAATGACAAAATATTGTGCAAGGTCCCCACTTGCGACGAGCTCTGTAATCATCATTGTTACACGGGGTCCCAAGGTGGAGAGAGCAGGGTAGGTTGCATCTTCAACTTTTTTTTCTTTTTTTTTTTGTCAACACCTCGAGCATAAAGAAAGACAAAAATCGGATATTTGGCGCACACAGTCATGTGTTGTAAAGCACATTTCTTACACCTTCACTAATTGTAGATAACAATTAAAACGGAATCAAACGAGTAAAAGAATAGGGAGTCATTGAGTGTAAGTTAAGTTTCATCAAGAGTCAACAAGTGTAGAATATGTTTTTAAGGTCAGAAAAAGATGGAAAAGGTCAAAGTCAGTAACAGTTCATGTGATTGGTTAATTTCATAACATATTTTAATTTTGATCAACTGTTTATCACATGATAACCGAGTTTCGGATAAAGTCCAAGCATGAGTAATTCAAATAATATTTTAGATATCTTTTATTGAAAACAAGTCTCTTAGGGATTACCTAATAAGGAAATGTTGCATGGTGACTTGCAACATGCGAATGGAAAATATTTTGTAATCGCGCAAAGACAATGGAAAAGAAAACAAGTAAATGCGTGATCAGTACGGATAAATTGAGTATAAATATTTGTTAAGTTGTATGAAGAGAGAGTCGGTGAATAAACGTTCGAAAGCTCCAGATCGCTGTCGTTATTCCTCACCATAACACATGTAATAAGATATATGTACACCTCGGCTGTCGAGCATAAAGAGAGACAAAAGACAGGTACATGTATGTAGCTATATATGTCATTAGGTTTATGATGGTTAATTTTTCACAAGGGAAAAAGCGGATAAACGTGACTGTCCAAATATTCCAACTTATCGCGAGTTAAGGTGGACCAGGTAGAGGGGTAAGTTGGAATTCTTGGATAGCTTAATATTGCAATAACAAAACTGAATATTTTGGGCCATGCTTCCTCTTGTTTCCAGCGTTCTCGTATAGTCACCAGCTTTTCTGTATTTCAATTATTCTCGTATATTCACCGGCTTTTCTGAAACGCCAAGAAGAGGCGTACCCGTGTCATTCATTTAACCTGATTGCATTCAGTGAGAGTCCTCGCAGATTTGGATCGATCTAGGACGTAGGGCGATAGTTTCAATGGGAATGAGCCCATTTATTTATTTGTCTTTAGGCCTTAATTGCCCCCCCCCCATTCCGAGAACTACATGTTTCTTTTGTATCGACGCAGGTTATTAATTATTATTATCATTATTATTTTTTGTGATGAAAAATCGTTCTGTTTATGTTGTTAACAGCACACAAGTATCAAACATCTAGTAGAGAAATGGAACTCCTTTTCCATAATATCAACGTGACAATTAACAAGAAGCATATCCTACATGATATATCTGGGATGGCAAAGCCTGGGAAACTGCTAGCCGTCATGGGACCAAGCGGTGAGTATATATATACCATGGCCCTTATCAGCACAGTGGACTAACTAGTCTGCAAGTCAAATATGGCGACCCACTAAAAAGTTTGCCGTATAAATCCTTAATAGACACTGAATAGATTCCCCGTGGGGAAATATTCAAGATGGTCGGCCATATTTGACCTGTGGACTAGTAAGTCCACTGTTCTGAATGCGACCATTCATAACAGGCGAGCTAGTCTAACAGATCTGCGTATAAGATATGGCCGACCCACTTGAATGCTTGTGGCTATAATCCCCGCACGAAATCTTTTCAGTGCCTAATCCTGAATTAAGCAGCAAGGTTTTAGTGGGTCGCCATATTTGACCTGCGGATTTGTTAGTCCACTGTTCTGAATGCGCTCTATATGTTTACCTAGGGGTCGGGGAAAATGCCTTCTTTTTAGAAAAATATGTAGGTTCTACTTCGTGGCGCAAGTCTTGCCACCTAGGAAAAAGACGGTTTTATCGATGCATGTTCTTGCACTGGGCATCGTTCAGTTTTTATACAATTGTAAGGAGTATTTAATTAATGCTCTAGACCGGCATACTGCATATTTCAAGGTAAACACGTCTTAAAACCAAATAGGTTTCAGAGCCTAGCCCAATATATGCACACGCGAATTCCAGCCTTTGCATTTGACTACCTTCATCCATTCAAATGTGCGGCGTAAATGTTTGTAAGAATTTTTCATTGTCAACTTTCATATTTCCATAAGGTTCTGGGAAGACCACCCTCCTGTCTGCTATTGCTGGTCGTGTTCCGCGGGACAAGGGGGACGTTCTCCTCGACGGCCAGTCTCTCTCCAAGCCTCTTAAAAGGAAGATTTGTTACGTACTGCAATCCGATATCTTCTTTGCTAATTTGACGCTGAAGGAAACTCTGGTGGTAGGTTTTGTGAAATTTATAAATATGCGAAAATATCTTAAGTTGTTTTTTATGTATTATTAAGTAATTCATTTCTAAACGGGGTCTTTGGAATATGACAATAAAATGTTGAATAAAAACAGCAAAATTTAAGAGGTCTAGATCATCAAATGTCAGAATATTTATCGTCATCTGTTTAGATGAAAACGCAGACCGAATGTTTGCTACTAGTATTGACCTTTTTTGCTGTACTGGGAATCTTACGAAAAAGCCAAATGAAACAGACAATAGTGGAGCGCAGATAGTTCATTCTGGGGAATATTTTTGAAGGTGTTGGGTTGACTGAGAGAAAACTATCATGAAAACTGCCGTGGTCAGCTTTCAGGGCAGAAACCACTCAATAATTTCCCACTGACGACCATACTAAAAAATGCCTGCAAAACTGCATGATCAAAATTATTCTGTGAAACATTTCCCATCCCCATGGACAGCAGACACACTGACATAACTTCCAATGGCAAAAAAATATACTGTCATCAACTCAACTGTCTTAACGGCATCACTTGAACATGTGCACCCCTCTGTTTGTAAACAAACCACTGCACCACTCACAGTCAGTAGCCCCCTCCGCCAGAGGTCTCACGACTGCACCGCACCTGATCATGAGCCTGGTCCTGAAAAAAATGACAGTAGTTTACACCCTAGCCTGCTAATTGATACCAAAATTAACCCTAGCAACACACAAGAAATGCCAGGAAAAATGGAAAAAAGCACTAATTTTCTCTCACTGAACAACATTCGTCGGTGATTGGCTGATTTAGTGGTTTCTGCCCTTCAACTGCACTCGCTTTAGTCCGACACTATTTATGACCCCACTCTCTTCTGAAGCCCGCGAAATCTCGCTTGATTTATGCTTAGCTGCGAGACTCTGGGCTATCTTGGACGATTATCATTGCGTCCTAATCTCACAACGTCTTTTCAGTACACCGCCCTCTTGCGCCTGCCCGACAGCATGCCTCACAAGGAGAAGATGGCCAGGGTGGACGAGATTGTCAATTCGCTGGATATAAAGAAGTGTCTGAATACGTGTAAGGTTAAATAGAGCTACTGGTGTCAAGAAATACTTGATGACAGAACGTTTTTTAGGCAAGCGCAGGTTATTGAAGTATTCAACAGCAATTAAAATCTAGAAGGATATTTTACTTAATTTTTCCTGACTCATGTTTCTTGTGAATTATAACGTAAATTTAAACTACATGTCGGTCGTTAATTCACTAATTTTTATTAAATGAATTTTCAGTGTTTATCAATCAACATTTTAACTTAAATGAAGTTTACATATTATAATGATATTTCCCTGTTCACATACTACATCTGTAGGGTTGTTGTTTTTAATTCCGTGCTGGCATAATTTTAGTTTGATTAGTTTTTTTTTTTTTACTTTTCAAGTAATTGGCAGCATATCTCAACGGGGTCTGTCAGGAGGGGAAAAGAAGAGAGCCAACATCGCCTGTGAATTGTTGACTAACCCAAAAATTATGTTACTCGATGTAAGTGCTTCGTGGGTTATCATTGGTCAAATTTCCCTATGCTGTTTAAAAGAATGTAGCTCATTGGTCACGCTGCCCCACCGCTGCCACCTCATTGTTTTCATGGTTGTTACATCATAAGTATCCATATTTTCGACAAAAATGTTTGTATTATTTTTTGACATCAGTTAAATCCTGTAGTTTATTCATTTTAATGAAAATTAAACTTTCAGGCTAAAACTTATTTTATTCAGATGGACCTTTACTGATCCGTTTTAAACTGAAGTAGACCACATTTTTGGTCCAAAAATTTGGACCTTTATTCTTTTTTTGTCATTTTGCTAATCCTGCCCCTATTTTAGGAACCTACCTCCGGTCTTGATTCTTGTACGGCTTTCAGTCTCATGAAAAACATGAAGGACTATTCTGCGGTCCACAACAAGACAGTGGTGACCACCATACATCAGCCCTCCAGTCAGATATTCCACATGTTTGACAGTTTACTGTTGCTGTGTGAGGGGCATGTAAGTACATAACTGTGCCTCATTCCACAACACTTGACCTCCCCCCTCTCTCTCCAGTGGCGGATTAAGCCGGGTGTCACGGGGTCCTGACACCCCTTCAGTTTCTCAAAAAAAAAACACCAATATTCCCCTCTTGACATTAGAATTCTGAAGAGCTGAATAATAGTTCTTAGCTGCACTAAATGGCAACGTTTGCCCTCTAAAACTCAAAACCCCACGCAAAGGAGTCAAGGGTCGGCTTCGCATTCGATGCCTGTCATTCTAAAAAGAATGACCCCCCCCCCCTCTTCAAATAAACCTGGATCTGCTTCTGCTCTCTCTCTCTCTCTCTCTCTCTCTCTCTCACACACACACACACAAACGCGCGATCGCACACGGGTAATGGCAAGAATATTTCTGTCAGGCATTCTGTATGTTTGCCATTGATTGTTACTCAAGAATGCAATGAAACATTCACGGGCAATTGGCCCAAACGGTCTGTATTGTGCGGTGCTTTACATAAATTTATACCGCTTCGTCGAAAGGTTCTATCGAATATTGCATCTCCAATTTGCAAATTAGTCGTATTTACAAGTACAGTAAAACTTGTGATGAATCAACTGCCTTATTTTGATAGAATCCGAATATTGTACCCGTACCAGTTCCAAGAATTAGATATCAATCCCAGTAATGGAGATTTTACGTTATTACTTTAATTACACTATGCATCAAACATTTCTATGTGATAAATTGCAGTTTTGTTTCTTTGCTTTTATTTCAGATGGCATATTTTGGTGATGCAGGCAAAATGGTGGATTTCTTCAGCAGTATGGGTCTTCATTGTACTCCACTGTACAACCCAGCAGATTTTATGAGTAAATATCCTGTGATTTACATCCACTTCCGGCTTCTATCAGTTTTTGTGTCCCACAGTATAATATCATAAGTATAATATCATAAGAAAAGTAACGTTTAGACCACTTTTATTTTTAAGGTGAGAAGATTTAAGACTATATATAATCGATGTACCAGCCTTTTAACTTTGTTTTTGTTTTTTTTTTCACTTTCGCCAGTGGAAAAAATGAAAGATAGTGATGAGGTACAAAATCTGATCATCAACAGTGCAAGTGCATTAAGGTGAGTAAAGACTTGTATTTAACTAGAGCCGTTTTTTTCCAAATGACTTCAATAAGTCAGAGTTTGGTCTAATCATAGATTTTTGTCTGCTTCTGACTGCTTGGTCAATAAGGATGATAGATGGCTGGTTGATTGTTATAAATTAAGACTGCATTTAGTTTGTGCCGAACTCAAATGAGAATTGTTTTTACTTCAATGCATTTTTTTGACTAAAAGAAATCAAATTTGTCATCTGATATCTAGATTATTTAAAGTAATTAACTATGGTACATATATTGACAAGATGTATGGTAACGGTTACGTATAAGCCTAGTTGTGGTTTTAATAAAGGCAAACTGTATTGCCTATTATATTTAAAGAAACCAATATGTCTTTTATATCTTATTGTTTGCCACTGCAGACAGTCTGATCAATGGCCAAATAAGCTGAAAGCCCTCGATCTTAAAATTTTGGCAAATAACAAAGGATTAACGAATAGAAATGACAAAGGAGATATTGATGAAACAGAAGATGCGCGTCCCTGTAATTTTGGTTTTGGCATGAATTCAGAGGACAAAGAAAAAGGTCCCTATCCATTAGTGCACCAAGGTATGTATGCCGATTTTAACGATTAAAAAAAAAAAAGAAATAACAAAAACATTTTAGATCTATTATAATAAGTAGAGAGCGTCTCTGTCTGTCTCTGCGGGTTGTTACAAAATCATTCAATTTTGAAACAACCCATAAAGACCCACAGAGGGTAAATAGTTAAAACACATACACTTATCGGGAGTAAAGAACATAGCAATCACAGAATGGCACTGGGAAATATTCATTTAACTCTAACAACAAATCCGTCATTAGCTTCAGAAATCTCGATTTGCATTTCGAAAGAAATGGCATCCAAATACTTGCAGCAAAAGTACGACGACCGCTGGCCCACGTCATGGTGGACCCAGTATCACGTGCTCACGAGGAGGAATTTTACCCAATCAAAAGCTAAAATATGGTCCAAAATTAACCTTATACACAGCGTTGTTATAGCAATTATTGCTGGGTTGCTATGGTTCCAGTTGCCAAGGACAGAAGAAACTATTGCAGACAGGAAAGCAGTGGTGAGTTCCCATACATTGTTGAATTTGCGTTAACAGGGTTGACTAGATTGAACTTAAAGAAAGTGTAAGGGATATAAGCTGAACTATGGGCCCGTTTATCAGTCATTGATAAAACATTAAAGTGCACTTGATTCCACAGAGCCGTAAAGAGACTTACAGTAAATTTCTAATAAGACCGTGTAAAGAAACTGAGGGCCCGTTTATAGAAAATCCGCCCTCCCATTTAGTTATAATGGTTAGGGTTAGCCCGATCTAAGTGGGTCCAAAATCTAGGGCAAGGCTTACATGTACAAATGAATTTGAAGTAGACTCTCTCTCATGGGGGACTCTTGGTCACGTTACACCGGGTTTTTCAAATTCCAAAGTTAGGGGAACGAGCAAGGTTATTCGCGCTTACAACTGTTGGTCAACGACTATGTATAGCTTTTGTTAAATAGTATCCCAAACAAAAAAATACAAGGTATTTAAATCAGAATGCTGAACATTATTATTATCTCAGTTTTTTTTTATTTTCAGATCTTCTTTATCTATGTATATAGTATCCCAAACAAAAAAGATACAAGGTATTTAAATCAGAATGCTGAACATTGTTATTATCTCAGTTTTTTTTATTTTCAGATCTTCTTTATCTATGTATACTGGTCTTTTATTCCGCTGTCCTACTCGGTTTCTTCTTGTAAGTGTTCTAAAAATATTGGAAAATTTTTTTCGTTTGGATCTTATTTGACATAAGGTTTTGATAATTTGCACTTGTCAATCACAAGGATTTTATTAACATTAAATATTATACCCAGCGCCACATTACACTTGCAGAAATATCAATTAACTTTCTTGAATAAATCATAATGATGCTTCAGTCCCTGAAGAACGCACCGTCATCGACAAGGAGAGGTCATCCGGTGCATATCGTCTCTCTGCCTACTACCTGGCGAAGATGACAAGCGAACTGCCGCTTACGCTCCTGCTGCCCTCTGGTTTTGTGTTGATCGTGTTCTGGATGGCGGGACTCAACGGCTTCTGGGCATATATTGGGTTTTGGGCTACTGTCATGCTGACGTCACTGTTCGCTCAGGTACTTTCGTGACGTCACAAAATAACGTATTTTATAGTTCTTTGAGTTAGTGTTTGAATTCCCCTTATGAGGTTTCCTTCCGCTTAGAGAGAACAGCAATTAAGAACTACTCACTAAAAAGCTTGCCGCTTAATTTCCGAGTGGACACTGAATAGATTTCCCGCAAGCATTCAAGCGGGTGGGCCATATTTGGTAAGGGGTCTCCTGACCCACCCCCCTTTTATTTCTGAAAAAAATCACACCTAAAGCCCCTCTTGAAATTAGAAGTTTGACTAGCTGAATCATAGTTCTAAACCGTACCAAATGGCACCATTCCCCTTCTAAAATACCAACATTTTCCGGAACCCGACGCCATGGGAAGGGGGAGCGGCTCCGCTTCGCATCCGCAGCCTGTCATTCCTAAAAACTGGACCTCCCTTTAAAAAATTCTGGATCCGTCCTGTGTTGACACCTATGTAATTCGGGGCATCTTTCGGCATTAATAATAATGGTATTTGAAGCACTGTCAGATTTACAACACTTTTTTATTGATAATCCCGATGTTATTGTCTTTCAGGCTGCTGGCTTTGTCATTGGGGTAGCAGTAATGGATGTGAAGCTGTGTATATCAGTATCGAAGATATTCATTTTAACAAGTATGCTAGCAGGTAAAAAGAATTATATTTTACGTCGATTCTTTTGGAAAAACTACAGTATTTGCCTGTCCAACCATTACGATGTCGACACAATTAATGTCTAGAAGCTTATGTATTGATAATTACGCTTCCCCACATACATGTATAAATCTCCACCACAGATAAAAGAAGTTGATTTTGATTATTTCACGATACCTGAAATAATTCACTATTAAATGAAGGATTTTAAACATATCGTACAACTGAATTGTCATATTCAGTTAACTAAGGATTTTATCATTATTCGTTATTAGTATTGAAAGACATGTTGCAATGAATGCAGTCTCATCAAATTTGAACCAAATTGCAATTCCCTAAACATAATTTTTTGCCGTTTATTTTAAGGAGGCTTTTTAACGACCAACACCCCTTTCTGGTTGGACTGGATAAAGTATTTGTCGTTTATTTACTATTCCTATCACATTGGGGTTATCCTAGAATTTACAGAGGCGCCACCTTTTAGGTGAGTTCAGATACAACTTTTTTGGCCACATCTTAAAGGCAAATGTTACACTTTTTTACCATTTACCACTGTATAACCATTCTGAAAGTTAGCCAATTTTAAATTTTCATCAACAGTATGTCATCCTCTACGGAACAGTTAATATGCATATTACATTGATGCCCGATTCGATCGTTTGATACTACTGGATGTTATTTCGTATTCCAAACAGGTGTTCTAAGAACGGGACCACGGCGTACCCAGACTGCAAGCGAGACCCAGCACTGATATTGTACGGAAATGAAACCATGTACTTGAAATCGGAATCAGTTCTGGAACAGATGGGAATAACGTGGCCGCTATGGCTCTACGTCACCGTCATCTTTTGCTCTGGAGTAGTGCTGCGGTACATTGCTTATTTAATACTGAGACATATACGTAAGCCGCATTGACGCATATTACATGTATCTACGTCGTATGAAGAGATAGGGGGCCTATCATGAACGGGAAATTTAGGGGAGAATTGAAATGAACTCGCCGTGGCACGTGTCTCGTGGACAAGAAAATACTAAGACCGCCGGGCTAACGATGAACTCGTTTCTTTGCCAGATTATCTGTGATATAATCAACGCACAGCTGGACAAATACGATCATTATGAATAAAGTAAACTAGAAAAACTCTCAAGGAAGTGCAGACCTCTGCCAAGGGCCCTGCAGTGATAAACAGTGATAGTTGAGAAAACATTGATTGCTAAAGTTCACTGTCTTTAGCCTTATCTCGCAACGGTCTGAATGGTGCAGGATCGTTTAGAAATTCTTGGGCCCAGATCACCATCAGCACCGAGGTCTAATTATTTTTTAAATAAACCCAAACTTCATCAAAATTTATCCATAACTCTGTAATTTAAGCTCGTGACAGACGAACAGACAAACGGGGTGAAGACGTAAGTCAATTTGCGTCGGCTACTTAAAATAAGCAAACAAGCTATCACACAAGATTTAGATGAGAAAATGAATTGCAATGATCCGACGATGCGATGGGCATCACCGATCTTCAACAGGAAATCGAGTGTTAATAACCTGAAGAGGGTTGGTCACGTGAGGAGTCAGGTGACTCTGCGTCTGCTGGAAGGCTCGGAGAGAATCTCAGTCTTCCTTGACAGTTGGGTTAGTGACTTTGTAAGCACGGCTTTAGATTTATTTTGTCATTTCGAAATGTCAAATATTCATCGCGGGAACCAAGACATTCAAAAGGCCTCAAATTAAAACCATACGATCAACGAGTGACTTTTTAACCTGGGCGATATACAATTAAGTTTGAAAAATGACTGAGACGTTTTATTTCATCTTTGACCTTATGCTTAAATTCTTTTATTTTAAATTTGTTAACATATGATTTCTAACATTCTATCTTTATTCATTAGTAACTTTATTTAACTAAGATGCAACTCTCAGGTTGCAAGTTAAATAATTAATAATAATAATAATTTAGCGATAATAATAATAGTTTTGTGTGACACCACTTTACTGAGTGAATCAGACCATTAATGAAAGTATTGATATGTACATCTTATGCTATTCTGTGCTAATAAATAAACCATTTTTGAAGAAATAATTCTGGATGCAAATAATTGAATATCTTTCCAATTTTATACTCTCTATACAATAGATCAATTTAACAAAGATATGGTTCACATTACCTGTTACGTATTGTAATAATACTGAAATTAGAGCCGTGGATTTTTGGACGTGCACATATCTTTTTGAAATAAAAAGAGAACTTTTGGCGATCTTTATTAAGTGTTATTGATTTTCCCGGGAAATAAGCAGTTTTCTCGTACTCACGGATCATTTAGCCATTCCTCTCTACACTTGGATTAGACCTTTAATCAGTTTTATAAAGGTTGATTGTTGATTTGTTTAACGGGACCGGCCAATCATTATATAACAGCGACCGTTTCCTAGATTCCGATGAAAAAAATATAAACATCAGGTAACCCCAGAAAAAATATTTAAGGGGTTAAAGGCGTATGCAAGGTTGCATCAGCCGTGGCAAAAATAAACTTTTAGGGGATTTTCTTTTAACTCATGGAGTGTACATTTAACGAGTCACTGCTTAATCAATAACAGAACGATCAACATGTCCTGAAGGATCCATATTTCTGTACCTCTCTCGCAGTTTAGCTACACGCACTTGCAGCGCTTTATCCAAAGCGTTATGACCGGCGGTGAACACTAGTCTTAGGGTGTTATGGAGAAGTGTATAGGTCTGCCCGACGTTGACTGGCAGATTGATCACCGGGTACGTACCGAATACGACGTTGAGGAGGCTGTGAGTGGTGGCTCCCACCGCCTCTTGAAAAGCTCTGTCTATGATGAGATCATCTTGTTGCCTTGAATTTGGTTGGCGCGGCAGGTCCGAGTACAGGGTCGAATTAAAGGATTCGCTTGTCGCGCCATCTATTGGTTCGGTATTGCCTCCAAGCAAGTCGAGCAGCTCTTCTCTTGGTAGTTGACACATATTGCTCAGCTCTGCCAGCCCCTTGCTTAAGACCCCAAAATGTCGCTCACAAGCCGACAAAAAGTTGTACCAGCCTGCAAAAGCATTTTACAATTATGAAATAGCTTGAGTAATAAAGGGCAAATTTTGTGGTAGTAGAGTTTGTGCAGTCAAACATTTGACAATCTAAAGGTACAGATCTAGATAGAGTAAAACAGAAATTTATACAAAAGCAATTTTTATCTTCCAACTTATCATATTTATCTAATTTCACAATAATTTGTATGAGGATAAAGGTGAAGACATATATATATATAATCCTTTCAATTTTCTCTCACAGGATTTAACCGAAAAAGATAATTTTCAAGGGAAATGGGTAATTTTCTCCTACCCTGCCTAGAGATACAAATCATTGCTCTGCCTGTTCGTGCATTTGGATTATATTAAGACACTACGTTCGCTTCAGAAAACTTTGCAGGATATAAATATTACTGTGGGGGATTTTCAGACCCAGGGAGAGTACCGTTTTAAAAAATGTTACATATGCACAAAAACCCGCATCAGTCAAATACACCCATAATGCGAATCTGTTTTTGTGCGTGAATTAATGTACAATACTTCTGCATCTTAAACAATAGATTTAACGTTAATTTCCACATCCTACAATTTATTGGTTTCCTCGATTAAGGGTTAGAAACTCACTTGACTGCACAACCATGTTTCCCAACGGAAGCACCGACGCAATGGCTGCATTTCGAACATGAGACAAGATGCGCCTCTCCAACCTCTCTCTCTTCTTCTGCAAAACTGTCTCGAACAGGGCTGATATCTGAGTGACCCCTTCCCTTTGCACGACTGAATCTAAAGCCTCTTGGCAGGCTTGCCTTGCCGCTGATGACATCGCCGTCTGGAGCGCCATCATATCATACCGCGAGATCTCGTAACTCGAGACAAGAAAATACCGTCCCGCGTTCAAAAAATCTGAAACCCAGTCCAGAAACTCCGAGTCCATGGCACGTGCTACAATTTCAATCTCCTTGTGTACATCACTTCGAATCTCGTCCAAATAAACGCGAGTGGTGTGGCGCAGGTTCGGATGATCCCCTGAATTGTTAAGTCGTTTGATCTTTTTAGCATTGTCAATCTTGCTCCGCACTATGAAGATTCTGTTCTTGGGGAAATTGTGCTCTTTCAGTAACCGCAGTAAGCTGAGGTCAGTTTCTTGTATTCTCTCGGATATCACCAGTAATACGCAGTCCAGGTGTGATACGTAATTGTAACTGGCTTCTCCTTGCGTCTCACTGGCAGACGAAGCGTCGCTTTGAACAGAGGAGCCAGATGTAGCTGCGGCATCATTCATTTGCTGAAACACCTTTATAGGGCGGGGCATACCATAGCCTGGGATATCCCAGAGATACGACCCTTTCACTTTTGGTAACTTATATGGCGTGGGGAAGACAGAGCCACTCGAAGCCGTGTCTCCCACCCTGGCAACCATGAGACCACCTTGGGTGTATTCCTCCTCTGTATCCATCTCAATGCCTCGGAGCGCGTTCACCAGAGCCGACTTTCCCGTTCCGGTCGCTCCGACAACCCCGATGTTTACCAGTCTCTTTTCAGTTCGCTTAAAAAAGTCACTCACGTCTCTAATCAGTTCAACGATGCCGAAGTCGGAGCTAATGTACTGTTCTTTATGACGGCTAAGCTCTTCAACTGAGAAGCGGACCTTAGGGAACATTATCCTGGCTTGACCAATCAGACCTGGAGTGATTAAGTCATTTGAAATATAAAAATGTGCTACAGAATTTGCAGTGTCTTAGAAAAAATATATCAAAGACTGCGAGGCGAAATTTGCTTGTCTAATTGTTTCGCATGCCTTAATTAAGCCAATTACAAGCATTCAGTTCGGTTATTCCGAAATTCTCAATGGCAGCTATTCGATCACAAGGTTGTTACATGTGAGAAAGGTCTAGGAGCCTACTCATACACGTACAACCGCAAAATGGTTTTAAGACCATTGAAATTTTATATTGACAATTCATCGAAAATATTTTGTCACTTTTCAACCGTTTTATCAAAAGGCATTGAACGTCGTTTAAAAGTTACATTCCTCACTGACTAGTAGCATAACTCACCTGGAACTCCGTCCCCGTAATTACCAGATAACTGGGATATATCGTGGAGGTCGTCATGCTGTAATGGTGACGTCACGTGGCTTTCTCGGCAGTCCCAACACAAAAACAGTGTACAGGTGCGACAGAGGACCCTTACGGTCCCCATGGCATCACACATCTCACATGACATTTCCGAAGAATCAATAGTTGGTGACCGCGACGACAGAATTCGTTGAACATACGGGTTATCTTCAAATGCTGACATGGAGTTTCGACACGGCGTCTTTGTGTGACATAATGGGCACGTGATTTCACGGTTTTGGTCCGCGATGACCGCCTCATTATTTGGCTGTTCTGGATTCCCCACGTCACCCTGTTCTATGCCATCACAGAAGCCACACGATTGTTCCAAAGCCGGATTGCCCCCATGGTTCTGGTTTATGCAAGAGAGACAGAAAGTGTGTCTGCAAGTTCTCAGTCGCTTAGGAGCTCGTGCCACCAAATCATATGTGTTCATGCATCGCGGACATTGAAGGATACTGACAGAAGCGCTGGGTGGACTTGACGATCTATCCACCATCCTTAGGCCTGTCCAGAGTTTTAGGCCTGCTGTAATAAAATATAATGTCAGTTATTATCAAACCTTATAATTATTTCATACACGCTTCTGCCTCTTTTCACAAATCCTCTTAATCAGTCTACGTACATAATATTAAAAATGACAATCGCAAAAGACCTGAGAATTTTGTCAAAGTGTTTAAGCACTGCGACTCTCGCCAGTTCATCCACCTCAGTTTCACTCGATGTCCACTGGATTTTTTTCCGTTGCCCTTCCCTCCCTTTGTGATGGCCTGTCCAGAGTTCTACTGTTAAAAAATATAGGCCTAATGTCAGTTATTGCCAAATCGTAAATTTTCTATGCACGATTCTCCATGGCCTCTGTTTCCAAATCTTCCTAGTCAATTTACGTAGGTAGACAACGCAGGATGTTTACACAAAGCATGCTGGGAAGGTATAGAGAAAAAAAAAACATATGTAGGCCTACTTCCGGTTTTTGACGATTTCTTTAAGGCGTGGGTTCTTGAAGGACGAGTACGTCTAAAGTATTAAAAAAGCAAGTCGAAAATAGACCTAAGAAATCTTACAGTCGTTATACAAATTTTATCCGTACCACGACTCTCTCTAGTGCTCCCAACTCGGATTCACTGTAGGCCTATTTCCACTGGATGTTCTCCGTTGCCTAGCCCTCCCTTTAAACTGTAGCTTATAGCACATATAAATGCACGTTTATATATATATATATATATATATATATATATATATATATATATATATATATATATATATATATATAGGGCCTATATGGGCAGATATGCATGTGTGTAAAGGTAAAGTGATGATAACGCTCACCTTCAAACCAAACTTGGCATGTGACTAACACAGCAAAGATAAAACCGGAGGCGTCGGTTTCACAAAGAACTATAGGCCTACGGACCGATCGATGGTCCGCCTAATTCAGACAGGCATGTGCCGCGATATGTGACTATTGAATCAAGCCACAGAAAGGGAAGCTCAAAGGCAACAGCTGTTCTTTTTTTTTTTTTTTTTTATAAAACGGGCGGCATATTTCATTTAACTATAGACTTCTGCCGTTTTATCTTGAGCATGAAAAATGATTAGATTATTGAACTTCCAGTTAAAGTTCACACCAATTTTCCGTCCAAAAGTTCCTGTTTGTAAACATGCCTCTTGTCGTATGTACCCAACATATGTGCCTGAGAAGATTGGGTGTGTGCACAGGAAAAATTCCCTTACGTCACCGGTTAAAAATAAATCAGGTCGCAGGCGCGTCTGCAGTCCATTGTTTGAATTTTCCCTGTGCCGTCGATCATGCCATTCTTATCTTGAGCACGTAACAAGGCAGGCAGGTGCCGCTCCTAATTTGCGATTGTAAACACTTCCGAGATATCACATGCATTCTAGATATTGATATGAGCACGTTAACAGTCCAGAAGGTAAGATAAAGTACCCCGATAATCGAGATTAGAGGAACCAATCAAAATATGCCACATCCAGCGGGAATGTCACAGCAATCGGCTATATGACTAATTTAGTTTCCAGGAACCATAATGATAATGATTCATCGATAATGAACATATCATTGGTTCTTGGAAACAAATGAGACATATGTGCAAGCATTCACCATGTGGGCGCAGTCGGAATATTATGAAAATGAGATTGAGTAAATTTACATTCAGGTATTAGAATCCGGGTACTTCTTCACCACCACGAATACACGCGCGCGCGCGCTCGCAGTGCTGTAGTTTATGAAGAGAAGTGAACCTTTGCTGTTGATGATACCATGTACAGCTATTTCTGTTTCAATGATGCAACAATCACGGTTTCCTGTACAATGCCGTTAAACTTGAATTACGCAGAGACACAGAGCTGATTACCAATAATTATGAATCACCTTTCTGGCTATCTTATCATTAAGTGTGTGTGTTGAACATTGACTGTCATATATAGGGTAGAGTACATGATACAGGGTAGAGTAGGCCGCTATACTTTGTTGATTATGAGAAAATATTTGTGTTAAGGTAAATTAAGGGATGCTTTTCAATCAATCCAGACCTTAAAAACAATGAATCTCCTGAAATAAATACCCGATGTCGATATTTCCAACAAGGCAGTCGAAAGCTACATGTGCAGGAAAAATGAAGTACTTAATTATCGAATTAAAATGATAAAAAACATCGAACTACGTGCAGGGGCGATTGGTGCAATGCTTCTCCAGTCGACATCATTTATTTCAGTAGATCCAACAAATATTTCTGTCGTCTTTGGTAGAGAGTCCATTACCGTATACGGCACTGAATTCTGACTAAGGTCATTAGGAAAAAAGCATATATGCATTTTTGCGTAACTCCCCTCCCCCTCTCCCGGGCCTAGAGCCGAGTTCGCCATTTGTTTTGGACGGGTAAGTGGTTCTCACTCCTTTAATTCACTCAATATGTTTCCATGATATCATATATTTAGTTGACTGTGATAACGCGGTCATAGATTAAGCAGAGAAGCAGAGGAAATAACGAATTATTATGACTCACCTTTCTTTCTATCTTATCGTTGAATGTGTGTGTTGAACTTTTGAATCTCGGTCAAATTTCAATCACTTTATTGTATTACCGAATCATTGTACAAATGGTAGACAAGATTGGAACTGCGCGACTGCTTATACTGCAATAGCTGCTCATAACTGTTATGTAAGTATATTTAGGCCTACATATGATAGCAGACGTATGACTGTGCCCGGTATAAAGAAATTGAGGGTCCGTGTAACTGAAAGTCCGCCGTCCATTTGACCTAAGTGTTTCAAAATCTAATTAGAAAAGCACTCCGAGAGCGCAGACCTCCGCCAAAGCATAATTATTATTATTATTATTGATTATTGATTGATTGTTGATCCGGATCACCACCAAAAGCTAATCATCTGTTCTTGTAAATTTCATCAAATCGGCCCATTACTTTTTGAGTTATGTTGATTACAGACAGACAGACAGACAGACAGACAGACAAACAAGGGTGAAAACATAACCTCCTTGGCGGAGGTAACGAATGGGAAGCGGACTCTCTAACTTGGGGTCTCTCTTTCACGTTACATCGAAATGCACTGAGGAACTGTAGGAATAAGAAGAGAAAAAAATCGAAACACAAATATACATATAACAATGTTAATACATATTTGGGCTATAACCATACTATGATCATGCTTAGATAAGTAGAGTCTGTACTTGTACATGTTGAGCAGGGCTACCGTACGTGACCCAATTCAATTTTTCTTTTTAACAAGTTCGTTGAGAAATGACACTTATTGAGGAGGATGATCGTTTAGCTTTGTTAATTGTTAATTATTTTTATTATGTTATGTTATGTTAATTATTGTTAAAAGTTCATAATTGTTAATTTTTTTGTTTGGTGGATAAAGGATATAAAAGCAATCAGGTGCACAACCGACAGTTTTTTAAGAATTGACACTCAATAATCTGAGTTTTATTGATACAGCATAGTACATATTATTGGCGATGCACATCTCCTTTTTATCAATAGGAAAACATAACAAATAAAACAGAAAATGATTTTTAACAATTAAAATATTTTCAATGTACTGAAGATTAATTTAAAGCAAGGCAATTTGTACTGGTAGCAATATACAGTTTTTATGAAAAACAATTCTTGAACAAGCTAAGGTTACTGACCAATTAGTGGCCTGAGGTCACGCAAAAGCAAATGCTATTACATTTGTATTGGAAGACAGTAAAACACAGGTGCATGTATACTATATACAATAAGGTGCTGTATCTAACCAATACGAGACATATTTCTGCATGGGGGCATAATGAATTCAGTTTGAATCTCTGGGTCTATATGGATTCGTAAAATTTAATATTAGGTAAAAAAAAATGGGCACTTATTAAATTGTCATCTTTCTTTAACTGTCATACTGGGGAACAAGCACAATGCATATGTTTTAAGAAGTCAATGCTTTTCTCATTTACTGACAATGAAACACAGTAAAGTCACCGGAAATGTCACTTACTGTATTAACATCTTTACTAATAAAAATCAAGGCCTCACAGACATTGAGAACGACGGGTTCATGCCAGCATGTACAAACCAAACGAATTGTACTCATGGTTGCTAATGATATACTCTTCATCTGAAAAACCAACTTTGACGCAGTCGTTTTTGTCGAGGTGTACTATTCCTGACATATAGGTGCAATCATTACGGCCTCGTTGCACACTTAGTTCCTTATAAAGCACGCGGTGCCAGCCGGTTGGAATTCTCCTCTGTATTGATTGAGTAAAATGCACAGCTGAACTAGTACTGGGGACGAATACACACAGCTGGCTGTAGACGAGAAAGTGCCCCTCTCGCTTCACTCTTAGGCACTTTTCGGTGTTTTCATACTGGACGTCTCCCTGGAGGATTAAATCCCGACCGTCATTCCACGTTAGAACTAAAATATAAAACTAATATATATAACAAGACAATAACATGTCTTTGAAATTGACTCTATATGTAACTGCATCTGAAGCTTATTAATAAGGTTGCATAGTCAATACTTCACTTCTTTTGGCGTTTCTTATATCATATTCTTTCGCTAGTAGATGATTTGGATCATTTTTACATCACAGAAGTTACGTTGGTATTTTACACGTTTCATTTGCGTATCTAAGTACAATAGAAGGTTATCAGTGAAACAAACTAGTTGAAGATAAAATATCAATTATGCAGCGTGTATGATGAGGGTTTTGTTTGAAAAAAGTTTTTATTTTTCAGTTTTTCTGATCCGCCTCTTTTTAAAATTTATTGTATTGAAGACGCAGTTTACTTGACTCTTCTCATAAATACTGTTCATGATTTATTAGATTGTATTTCAAGCCTTTTTTATGGCATTTGAGCCCTCTTGAAAACAAATGCTGTTCCTAAAGGAGCACATATTATTAGATGTACTGCTTCCTTATAAAAAACGGGTCAACGCGCTTGTCTTTAAAGCTGACCACCTTTCACATATTTTTGTCTTTTCTGGAAAAGCCCACCTCCCATTTTCTGTTTATTTACACTTCTCACGCTTTTGATTCTTTGAAATAAATCAAATATTTAGCGTCTCCTTTAGAATTGTTAGAAATGTTAAAAACTCTATGTACATGTTGGCATTAAGGAGAAGCAAATGTACAGAATTAAAGAAGAGAATAATGTTACATCTTACGAACCGTTTAGTATAACATTTACACCTTTTATTGTTAAACTTATTTAAAACGACACTTACCGTTATTGTCCTTCCTGCCTCTCAAGCGTGCCAATGTTAAGGGGATGTCTGCCTTTCTTGACAGATACGGTAAATCGGTGACCTTAGCTTGGAGACCTTGAATAACGGAATATATATACATGTAACAGGGCCAGTTGTGTGTGGTTGTATCGGCTTGTGTTGTTATTTTTTTCACCCCAAAGAAGCAAAACGAGTGGAAAAAAGCCCATGTTTGCCCCAAATTAGAAAAGGGTTTCTGTTAATACCATAAAAATAATGATTTATTCTGGTACGGGGTTTATATTGGTAAGGGATTTATTTTATGATTTATTCTGGTACGGGTGCATTTTTCACATTGCCTTTAATCTTTCTAGTTGTATTTAAGCTAATGTACCACAAACTGCAAAAACGACTTAAAAACAGATATTTACATAAATTACTTTCAAGCATATTGTCGTTTAAGGTTATATATTCAATCATGGTGACTCAGATTTGAAGAAGGTGTTTGCAGGACCTCCACAAGTATATAGGTAACATTTTAAGATAACCACGGGGTTGACCTTAACAGTTATCACTCAGGACGGATTTACTATAATCTGTTGTAAAAGTTAAAAGGGAACTTTTCTCAATGTTGACATTTTTTACAGAAAGCAAAAGTTATAGTATAAAGACAAAGCACCATTTTCGATCTGTCTATGAAACCAAGGATCAAAACTGGTATCAATTGTGTTCAGGGACATCATACCTGCACAGAAATGGAAATAAGAAGGAAAAAGATGTAGGGGAATATAAAAAAAAACAGATTGCCTGTTTAGACGTATTTACATTACATATTTACCATTCATTATCTGATTCAAAGTAGCAACTGTCTCCGTGATATTGTACAGCGAGCTGTCCTGCAGACGACTGTTTACAGCCAGCTTGGACATATTTCTGTTGAGACCTGTAAAAAGAGATATTGACAACGGTTAACTTAATTTATCGTAAACAGTCCTCTGTAAAACAAGTATATATGCAAAGGTTGTTTTTTACTTAACGATTTATATATATATATATAAAAGGAAAACGCGTTAAAGAAGAGACAAGAAGCCATGCATAAACAATTGAAGATATATTTAACGGGGACATATTTCTGGACGAAAGTCAACTTATTTCCCATAAACAAAGAACAAAGAGAATATAACGCCAAAGGACCATTATTTTTCTTCTGCTTGGCGTTTCTCTCTTTCTGTCTTCCTCTTTTTTTTTCTTTGGAGGAGGGGGAGGGGTAATCTAGTGTTTCATCTGTGTTTGACAATCCACACGTCAGGGATCCCCAAAGCATGATTTTAGATAAGTAACTTATAAAAATGACTTTTAAGTGTTGAAAAAGTAACGAATCCGAGGAATAGAAGAGATACTATTAATAGAAGAGAGGTTCAGGTGTCAAATTCTAAGGCCATGGTTTAGGTTGTTTTCCCAACATTGTAATCCCTCTATGGTAGAGGAAGCATTGCACGCACCATTCATCACATTATTGGCGGTTTTATTCATGTCGTTCATAGCTGCATGAAGGTTTTTGTCAACTTTTTCCAGGAGCTGCAAATAAATAGATAAAAAGTCATCGTCGTGCTGTTTCACCAGACTATACCCCACCATATTTTTAATAGTAAAAGCAATGCGTCACCTGCACACCGATATGTGATACTCTACTTCCTCTTTCTTTTAAACCAAAGATTAAATAATTCTGGATAATCATCATTTAATTGTAATGAAAATAACAAAAATGCTGCGTAAAAAANTTAAGGGGATGTCTGCCTTTCTTGACAGATACGGTAAATCGGTGACCTTAGCTTGGAGACCTTGAATAACGGAATATATATACATGTAACAGGGCCAGTTGTGTGTGGTTGTATCGGCTTGTGTTGTTATTTTTTTCACCCCAAAGAAGCAAAACGAGTGGAAAAAAGCCCATGTTTGCCCCAAATTAGAAAAGGGTTTCTGTTAATACCATAAAAATAATGATTTATTCTGGTACGGGGTTTATATTGGTAAGGGATTTATTTTATGATTTATTCTGGTACGGGTGCATTTTTCACATTGCCTTTAATCTTTCTAGTTGTATTTAAGCTAATGTACCACAAACTGCAAAAACGACTTAAAAACAGATATTTACATAAATTACTTTCAAGCATATTGTCGTTTAAGGTTATATATTCAATCATGGTGACTCAGATTTGAAGAAGGTGTTTGCAGGACCTCCACAAGTATATAGGTAACATTTTAAGATAACCACGGGGTTGACCTTAACAGTTATCACTCAGGACGGATTTACTATAATCTGTTGTAAAAGTTAAAAGGGAACTTTTCTCAATGTTGACATTTTTTACAGAAAGCAAAGTTATAGTATAAAGACAAAGCACCATTTTCGATCTGTCTATGAAACCAAGGATCAAAACTGGTATCAATTGTGTTCAGGGACATCATACCTGCACAGAAATGGAAATAAGAAGGAAAAAGATGTAGGGGAATATAAAAAAAAACAGATTGCCTGTTTAGACGTATTTACATTACATATTTACCATTCATTATCTGATTCAAAGTAGCAACTGTCTCCGTGATATTGTACAGCGAGCTGTCCTGCAGACGACTGTTTACAGCCAGCTTGGACATATTTCTGTTGAGACCTGTAAAAAGAGATATTGACAACGGTTAACTTAATTTATCGTAAACAGTCCTCTGTAAAACAAGTATATATGCAAAGGTTGTTTTTTACTTAACGATTTTTATATATATATATAAAAGGAAAACGCGTTAAAGAGTAGACAAGAAGCCATGCATAAACAATTGAAGATATATTTAACGGGGACATATTTCTGGACGAAAGTCAACTTATTTCCCATAAACAAAGAACAAAGAGAATATAACGCCAAAGGACCATTATTTTTCTTCTGCTTGGCGTTTCTCTCTTTCTGTCTTCCTCTTTTTTTTTCTTTGGAGGAGGGGGAGGGGTAATCTAGTGTTTCATCTGTGTTTGACAATCCACACGTCAGGGATCCCCAAAGCATGATTTTAGATAAGTAACTTATAAAAATGACTTTTAAGTGTTGAAAAAGTAACGAATCCGAGGAATAGAAGAGATACTATTAATAGAAGAGAGGTTCAGGTGTCAAATTCTAAGGCCATGGTTTAGGTTGTTTTCCCAACATTGTAATCCCTCTATGGTAGAGGAAGCATTGCACGCACCATTCATCACATTATTGGCGGTTTTATTCATGTCGTTCATAGCTGCATGAAGGTTTTTGTCAACTTTTTCCAGGAGCTGCAAATAAATAGATAAAAAGTCATCGTCGTGCTGTTTCACCAGACTATACCCCACCATATTTTTAATAGTAAAAGCAATGCGTCACCTGCACACCGATATGTGATACTCTACTTCCTCTTTCTTTTTAACCAAAGATTAAATAATTCTGGATAATCATCATTTAATTGTAATGAAAATAACAAAAATGCTGCGTAAAAAAATCAGTTAGCGTAATATTAGCAACATTATCAACGAGGAATGCTTCTGGCATTATTAGAGCAGCTGAATACTGGTATCTTTGGGATTTTAAACAGTAGTAAGATTTTGTATACTGTAAAGGCTCAACGGTCTCCTGGGTAGGTAGTGGTAGACCTTATTGGGACTCACGTAACTATAGGCAATGTAATTTAAAATCAACCCCCAAAATGAAATTAAAACGTTTTTGACACAATACAATAGGTAAACTAACAGCACAACTAACTGATGAGTCGCTAAATAAATGTGTACGTCTTATAATTGCAGCATGTACCGGTAGTATTCAAGCTCTTTATGTTCCATGCATCTAAAATGTGGTTTTGGTTGATTATTTACCAATTAAACAAACTAGAGTCTACCAAAGAAATATAAACTGTCACAATTACCCGATGCAATATTTTAAGTATGGTGCAGTTTTCACTGAGGTTGATATCCAGGCCTGGAACACACAAAGAAGCCGGTCCAACATGCCCGTCCTCTGAAACATCGCTTTGGGACATGGCTATTGGTTGGCTCAAAAGAGCCGCCGTGTCCCTGGATGGTTTGCCGTCATCATGTCGTTGAAAATGAATAGCAGCGCCCAGAACCACTATGGCTATCATCTGTAAACAACACATGGCGAAGATCACCATTAGGTAGCAACGCCATCGTCGCCCAAGCTTAATTTTGTCGTCGTGACCACTGCCATCTTCACTGGGATCGGAAAATGACTCAAAGTCTACAGTTGTGATGTTGGATGGTCGGATGGACGCGTACAAGCCGTCAGTCGTACTCGACTGGTCCGAGGATTGCGAAGAAGGTAACAGCGGCGGCTCATCGTACACACGCAGGTGCTGAGGTCGAAGTCGGTGATCATAACCACGAACATTCATCATCAGGAATTTTGAAGGGCTTCGTTATCGTCAAATGCTGCTTTCTAGTTACATTTCTTTTGCAGAGATACGCATTTGGAACTTTGTGACAAGAGCTCTTTTCGAAAGCGAGCATAAGCCGCGCCGTGTATTCATCATTTGAATGCACCTGTTTTTTTTTTATTTCTCTTCGATGCGATACGCTTGGGTTTTACCAGGTCACTTTCTTTTGAGTTTTCAAACTAGGTCATCAGCAGTGCAAATGTTAGCAGCGGAGTTTATCAGACTCTAAAGCGTGACCCCATGCAGTCACCTGTTCAATAAAGACCTATACAATCAGGTCTAAATGCATTAGAAATAAATAAACAATAACATATGACCCCCTTTCTTCCTCAGCACAAATACTGAAAAACAAATTCAATCATTGTCGTGAATAGGCAGCTTGCTAAAGGAGCCGATAAGTTTAACAACACGTGACGTATATGCAGTAGTCATTGTTGTCGACTTATATAAAGAATTGTTAAGTGGAATCCTGTTTGATGTGGGGTTATTGATTCATCCGAACCAGTCTAGGGGTCTACATGAATTGGGAAGCGTCTCGATCTCTCCATCATACATTTGAAAATTCGCCCTACAGACTGTAAGTACATGTAGGTGGTGTGAAAAGTACTGGGTGTGCAATTCTCACATAGGAAACGATCGGGGTAGTGAGAAAGTCCTAAGTTAATTCTCCCATGCGTTAATGGGGATCGACTCAATGCATGTCCCCGAAATTATATATCATATAACGTTGTGACACAAATTCCATCAGCGTGTTTGCAGTGTCCTCACAAATGGGTCGGCCATGTAGGCCTACTTCTCATTACAAAACAAACAGGGTTTACATCAGCTCTTGTAGATAAGCTATAAACTAACTGCAGCTTATACAAGAGAGACTTATTTTTAGAATCTATGCGCGCGCAGATCGTCCGTCACATTTGACCTAGTTATCATGGTCGTACAAACAAACGAAGTCAGACAGTGTGACAGTGTTTATACAGGGACAGTGACGTGACTTTCATCGAAGAGAAACAAACGTTTCAGTGCTTTACACTCTGAGTATGGTTTGCACAAAACATTGTTGTTATGGTACCTGCAGAAATGACTCGCGTTACCCTAACAGACCGGAGATGGAAGGGGTGTTTTTCATCAACTTTCCAAAGCCTAAAACTCAACGGGAGAAGTGCGAAAAGTGGATCTATGCATGCGGGCGACCCAAAGATCAATTCAATGTTGAGAAAATAACAAAGTCCACGTACATTTGCAGTAAACATTTTGTCGGCGGTCGTGGACCAACAGAAGATTACCCAGACCCGATACCTGCTACTGCCAGTGCAGAAAGAGTAAGTACTGTACGTATGTGTATAGTGGTTTCGTTTTTTTTTTCAACTGGGTTGCTTTAACATGCATTTATCATTATACATTTCATCTTTTTTATAAACTTACTTATTGGTATTATTCTACAAGTAAACATTGAAATCATGTATATTTTTCATTACTTGTTTGTACTGTTATTGTTAGATGTATTGTCTTTGA